CAAGACAGGTAGAGCTTGAGCTTTTCCCAAACATGAAAACCTCAACAAATTTCACAGTGTAGTCTCTAGCCCACTGAAGTCCTCAAGAACAGCCACTTCTGCCCTTTCAGACTGAAGAAGCCGCAGTTCTGCCCACTCAAAAGCCTCACAAAAGCTTGAAATATATTAAAGCTCTGCCAAAATTGACCTTTGGTATCGATTTACAGCTGAAGCTTAGCAGTTGAAGTTGTTAACAGTTCAGTCCAGCCCGGATCAGAGCCTCCCATCCAGGCATAAATGGAGTTCCAGCTGTCTTTTTATCTTTCTAGCGTGGGTATTTATTTTTATAGTTTTGTAAAAGGCAGTTATGTCTAAGACAGCTTAAATTCCATCAACCTTTCTGGCCAGAACAACCTCTTTTTACTGAGATAAATTGTTAAAGTCCTCACCAGTCTGAGGCAAGAAAAGAACTTACTTGGGAGATATTCCTCATCCAAATTCACAATCGTTTGTTTATAGAAATCAATGACTTAGAGCGCAAGTTATCTATTCTAGAATAAGTCTGCTAGAATCTTCATTGCTAGCAGTGGCACGCTCATACACCAAAGAAAGCTAACTTGTTGACCAGTCAATGGTTTTCAAGGCAGTGGGGAACTTTGCCCTTCCATCTCAGGAGAAATCACAAAACGGAGTGAACAATTACTCGTATAAAGAATTTAGCATTTTCACATTTAATATTCATATTGTGCACGTACGTATGTTTCATGTTTAATACACTTGAGTTTTTACAAAATTTTTAATAATACACACAAAATTCACGTATTATACACATAATTTTCGCATACTATTCAAAAAAATAATATATATATATATATATATCAAAACTAGTAAATTAATATCTAAAGTATAAACTAATGCAAATAGAAGGTCCTTTTTAGTTTGAACTAAATTTTATTGCCAATTCCCCCTATCTTCTAAATCAACAACATGTCATCCAATAATCCGTCAAATAATTAAAAAAATTATTTTTGAAAAAATTAAAGAAAAAAAACTATATACTAGTATTTTACAGGAACACGTGCAATGTTTTACCCCATTAACTATATACAAAATTACAAAAATTTAATATATAGTCTAGGTTTTAAAAGAATATTATATTAAAATTATTTATTTATTGTATACACAGCAGGTATGACTCTTTCTAAAATGAATTGGGCAAACATGAATTAATATATAAATGCGTATTGAATTTTCATGGCCTCTCTCTCCAACTTTCTTCTTATCATCTTATCAAATTTTACAATCAACAAAACTTTTTACTGTTAATTGAATTCTACTTTGTGAATTTTATTTTCTTCCCATCATCATCTTACGCTCTGTTTTTCAATCGATCGGAGGAGTTACAAAAACATGACAAAAGACAAACTATAGACTTCATTTCTTTTTCCCGTTTGGCATATCGAAGAGTTTATCGATGACCAAAAAGAATTGAAATCAACATTTATCATCCTTAACATGGTCGTTGTAATGTCCATTATTTCTTAATCCAATTGTGCCAAAGAAATTTGATGTCAAAACTGCATATGAAATGATTCTTAAGCAATCTCACGTGTCCTCCTTCCTCAAATCTCTCAAAAACCAAATTGCTTATATATATATAAGTTCAAGTCAGACTTCTTGAATTTAGGCCTGCCTAAATTTCTGGATCCTTGAGATCTCCATGCCAAAAGGCGATCGAATTCGAAACCTGATTCCAATGGCGAGTACATGGCATCCTCAATTTGCAAATTACATAGGATAAGAATATCAAATTTCCTAACATCTACAACAATTCGTGATTGATAAGACCAATTACATCTGTATTATAAATGGTCTGTAATGGATTGCCTGTGATACAGCTATATGCCTGTATGAAAGACTCCTATGGGTGCATGTATATTAATTCTTCATCTTTGCATTCTCTGATTCCAATATCCATCACTTGGCCACCTGTAGAAGGTAATATGTCACAACAATGCCTTCTTGGAGCCTGCAACTGATAAAAGTCAAGAAAATATGGAATTAGGATTGTTTAAGCTCCATGAACATATAGATATAGGCAATGATTAAGGGATTGAACAAGTATTATGTCAAAATGTTGTAAGCAAGAAATACCTGTTTGATATCAAGGTCTAGCTTATGTGAGTACACTCTGACCTCCTCCAGCTTCCTCGGCGAACCCGTGTCAGAGGTGCAATTTTCGTAGGACTTTTTGTAGATGCTCTTGATCCCATCCCCAGCAGAGGACACATTGTCCAGAAAGAAAACAACCGGTCTTCGACACGGGTCCTTGTGATGTTCTCTTGTGTTGAAAGTATAAGTTCCTGACAGAACACTTCCCTTTTTCCACTGGCTGAACGTCTCTTGCACGGGGAGGACGTCCGGCAGAAGAATATGGTTTCCATGAATTTGAACAGCATAACCCCATGACACTACTATGGTCCATGAAAACCATCTGTCATAGCAAACTGTTTTTTGTAGAACCCTCTGAGAATCGGCTCTCACAGCCTTAAACAAATGTTGCAGAGCCTTGATAGTTGTCATGTTGGGGAAGACAGGGTTTATGTGATCCAAGTGATGCAGAGATACCAAGGGTGTTAACGGATGTGCGGCCAACAGACCAAATGTATCTCCATGAATATCATTCTGGTTCAATTTTACAACCCAGAACCAAAAAATTTAGTTCTTTCGATTACAACTTAAAAATAAAAACAGAGAGACTGGTGGTACAGAGAAATAAGTACCTGATGGAAGCCAGGCTCCTGAGTTAAGCCAATGCCAAGCTCTGCTAAGCAAGAGGAGATCCTGGAGTCACTTCCATATAGATGAGGATATCTTTCTATACATGAATCAAACACCTTTGCCAATGCTTTTGCCAAAGGGGAACTTATAGCGAAACCAGCACCACCGTAAGCCATTCCAAATCCAAAAATTCTGTTCTGCTCATAGATCTCTGAGTTTGTCCCAATGTAGTACCACAGCCTATGATCATACTTAGAAAGTGTCTTCACCAAATTCTCCGGAAAGAAAACCGTGTCATCGTCCCCAAAAACATACCACCGCACATTCGAATGGTTGAGTGCCACGGTCTCCGAAACAACGCGTGCCACACGGATAGCAGACTTCAGGCCACCTTTGTAAGTGTAACGAAATCGGGAAGTGTCCTCCGAGATACATACTGGAGGAAGAGAAGTATCATTGGCATGATGTTCATGACCAGGTGGAAGGCTTTCAAGAAACACGCATCCCCTCATGGGGTTCTTCCACCAGAGCCTGACATACTCCTTCCTCTTAGCTGACCACGACTTCTGATTCGAAGCAATCCCGAACACAATGTGCTCAAGAGAGGTTGGGGGCGAGGAGTACACATCTTGAGATAAGTAACTGATATGTGCAAGCTTGGAGCTGGTAAATACAAGGAAGAATGACACAAGAAGAAAGAGCGTGAAGACAGAAGATGAGATTATGACGAGGTTTATCAACCGAGAAGACGACTGGGATTTGGAGGGCGATTGAGGCAGCCACATTTTCGAAGATTGAATGGAAAATGGAAAAGAAAAAGAAAAGAAACAGAGTTGCAGAGATTTTGAAGAATTTGTATCAAAGTTGGTGGACCATATAACCAAAGTGTATAAACACCGAAATCCACGGCATAAAAGAAAGATGCAAACTTTGACCTGCACTTGTGCAGAATAGTGTAATTAGGTTAGTTAAATTTCCAAAATCAAATATGGGGTAGGCGTGGCCTTTACACGCACAGTCCACATTTTCTGCTCCAACCCAAAGAACCCAGCTGTTGGGTGCGTCCCTTTAAGATTCAAATCACGTCAGCTACTCGACAGCAACAGCTTTGAGTGATTAAGAAGAGGGTTAGGTGTTAAAACACTATTGGCAGTGGATTAGGGCTTGGCCCTTGGGAGTTACGAAAGGATTAATTAATTAATTGGGTAGCTTCGTTGATGCAGGGAGAGAGCGTGAAGAAGGCAGCAACTTCAGCTCCAAGTTTTTTAAAAGAAAATAAAAAACTTTAACGGTCTTAGCAGGTAGAACTGTTACGCAAAGCAAGTGCTTGGACTTGCTTTTTTTTTTTCTTTTTCTTGGATGAATTACTTTAAACGTTATAAATGTAATACAACGTGACACTAACATAACTCTTATAACTTTGATTATATATATTGAGGTAAAATTACACACCTTTTTCTTTCTCAATTGAAACTGATGATAAAGCCTGAGCAGAAAACCCAAAAAAACAAGAACCATGGGGAATAGTACCGTTTGTAGTGCCTATGATTCACTAGCTAAAGTTAAATCCTTTGCAGTTCCACATTTGCTTGGGTCGTCTCCCCGTAACTAGATTAGGCGTGGTGTTCTTCGTTTTTCTCTGTTCTTCAAATTTCCAAGACAACTGGCCACTGGAAAGTTTAACAAGAGTGGCCCTATCAGACATCAAAACCTTAACTGGCTTCACACAGTAGCTTCCTTTCAACAACAGGATCCAATATATTTTTCTCTTGATTTTTTTTTTTTCAAGGAAATGATTCCAGGATTCCTAGTTTTTGCTCCATGTCTTGATCCAAAGATAAATGGCCATCTCCAACTATATTCTCCTCCTCCTGTCAAGAAGAAAAGGAACTTTAGCGTTCTTGTGTGAAGATCATTTAATCAGATAATATCACTTATAACACAAATGCTTGGAGGCCCATTTGACAAACCAAAAGGAAAAAGAACTTGCGAATCGCAAGCATACTTACTAACAAGTGAACCACCTATGTCAGGACATCTCAATAACAGAATAATGAGCAGGGAAAATAAGCAAATGGCCATGTAGAAGGGAGGAGGGAACTAAATAGGCTAAATGAAAGTCATTCAAATGGCCATGTAGAAGTCAATGTTCCCTAAGAACTTTTCAAACATAATTTCAGAACAGGAAATGATATTACGAATTACCTTGATGAGCTGATAAGTTGACCAAAATTGCTTGTCCTCTGAATTCTGCATTAAACTAATTATCCTCGGAGCAACTATTCCAAGAGAGAAACTCTAGAAATTCATGGATATTACTTCATCATCTCCACACCGTCTAATGTTGATAGTCATTGAGTCATTAAAAGATGGCAAAATGTTGCAGCAGGGACGACGTGGAGCCTTCATCTGGAATGTAAAAGTGGACTGTAGTTAAATGGCATTGACTTAAAATGACTAAAATATGAAACAAAATTTAATATAAGAAATCAGTTAATTAATACCTCATCAACATCAAGCTCTAGCTTATGTGAGAACACACTGATTTGCTCCAAATTCTTTAGTGCATTTGCTTTCGAGCAGTTTTCCACACTGTGCCTAGTGTAGGTGCTCCAGATGCCATGGCTATTGGCTATTACACTTTCTAGAAAAAAGACCACTGGTCGTTTACATTTACCTTTAGGATAATCTCTCATATTAAACATAAATTGACTTGCATCAAAACTACCACTCCTCCTCCATGGAGTAAAAGTTTTCTGCAGTGAAAGGAGATCTGGGAGGAGTACATTGCCATCATAGACCTGAATAGCATAACCCCACGCAACAGAAACAGTCAATGAATGCGAAATGTCATAGCAAACAGTTTGCTGCAAAATCCTGGCTGGATCAACATTCACAGCTTCAAAAAGATGTTCCAAAGCTTGAGTCTTGTTCATGTCTGGGAAGATTGGATCTGCAGCATCCAAATGATGAAGGGACACCAATGGTGACAATGGATGCGCAGACAGCATTCCAAACAAATTCCCCCGCATATCAACCTGGTTAGAAAAATGAAGATAACGCTCTTAAAACTCAGCACATAACTTGAAACAAGTCTGCAACAAAAATCTAAGCTAACAAGCTCAAATTCGATTCCATAGATGTAGGATACCAAACAAAACTATATCATGATTTGAAAACATGGTTGTCATTAATGAAATCCACAACGTGGCAACAACTAAATTGTCAACTTAGCTTGTGCAAAATAAGCTAATAACTAGAAAATCAGGCCAACAATGTAATTGCATCAGCCGTCCAAAAAAAATATATAATCGCATCATCTTCAAAGTTGAAACATGACGAAGCAGAGGAGCACAAAATGTAATATAGATTCGTCCAAGTCAAATATCTACTGCACTAATGTCTATTTAGTATGTTTCTTGGTAAGCCCTAAGGGCAGGATACGTTTTTATTGATGCGGCCAATAGTTCCTTCGAGTAGCTTCCATGACTTTTGGGCCATCAGACAAGTAGCTTCCATTGTAGAAGTTGAAGAAAAATAAAACCTAGAAATCATCCAATTGAAGTTACTACAGTTCAGTTATCCAGTTTTGTCCATCTCATAACGCAGTGGGGTTCATGGGCATAATCAAGCCATGTTTGTCAACAATCTTGTAAAACTAAAGAACACCAAATCAAAGAGCAAGTATTCCCATAGCGTATATTAACTCTTTCTTCTCAACTTCTTGATTTTATTAAACCTTATTTCTTTACAAACGAAGATAAAACTATCAAAACAAAAAAAGAAAAGGGAATGGGCAAGGCCCAAATACAAAGTCAGTATAAATCAACTGCTGCCCAGCTGGAAGAATTCGGTCTCTGAAGGAAATAGGATCTATAAAATCTGAAAATGATAGATGTCCCAAATCTAAGATGGATCAACAGCCAATAGAATAACTAGTAGAGAAGTACCATCCTCCCTTATTCCCAGTACCGCTATTCTCCATTCAGTAAAGCACACCATAGAGTTTGGCAGCTTGTATCAAAGATACAAACCAACCTTCCCATTCTGTAGCTCCCTACAAACTAGGGAACACCTACAAAACGTCTCCTGAGCAAACCAAAAAACTTCTCTCCAAGGCCGTCTTCCCTTAAATTATCGTGTGCAGGTAAGGAATCACAGTCTCAAAGAGCCTATCTCTACACCAACCATCATGCCATAACAGATTACTATTCCCATTTCCCCAACTTCAAGGGCAAGTTCTAGAAGGTCCAAACCATTCCTTAGTTCTTAAAAAGAGAAAGCTTCACTAAACACAATCGGCCACCTACTAAAAGAGTGAGCCTTTCAATCTGGATCAAAAAGTTTATGATATACTTTCCTTGCAAAAGTGCAATCCATTAAACACCATCAAGCAATTACTTTCATAACAAAAACCAGTTTCAACCAATTTCAGGATACATAAAATTCAACTATTGAGGAGAATGCAGGTACAAACCATCAAAATATTATGAAAAAGGCTAATTAAATATTCACATTCTATACCTGATGAAACCCAGGCTCATGGGTCAACCCAACGCCGAGCTCCGCCACACATGAGAAAACTCTAGCATCGCTTCCGTACAAGTGGCCGTACCTCATCAGGCAAGAGTCAAAAACCCTTGCTAGAACCCTAGCCAGCGAATGGCTAATGGCGAACCCTCCACCGCCAAAAGCCATTTCGAACGAGTACTTCACATTTTGCTGGTAGCTCTCCGAATTGCTCCCAACGTAAAACCACCGATCGTGATCGTACTTCGACAAAGTCTTCACCAGGTTCTCGACGAAAAACACCGTGTCGTCGTCGCCAAAAATGAACCACCTCACGTCGGGCTCGCCGCGATCGACGACCTCCTTGACCGCGCGCGCCACGCGGATCGCGGACCGGAGCCCCCCCCGGAAAGTGTAAGGAAATCGGGAGGTGTCGCCGGAGACGACGACCTGCGCACCGGAGCCGTAGCCGTGGGAATCGAGCGGGGCCCGGTCAAGGAAGGCGAAGGCGCGAGTGCGAGGGGAGAGCGGGGAGCGCGAGAGGCGGATGTAGGGCTCACGGCGGGCCCAGGAGGGCGAGGAGGACGCGATGGCGAAGACGAGGTGGCGGCGCGTGGTGGGAGAGGACGAGTAGCGCGAGATAAAGGTCGGCGGCGCGTGGATGAAGAGCAAGTAGAGGTTGAAGAAGATGGAGATGATCAAGAGGAGTGTCTTGAAGCGAGAGAGGGTCGTGGTTTTGGGCATTACGAATGGGAGGGAAATAGAGAGGTAGCGGAATCGGATTGCTTTGCAAGCAGAGTTCGTTTTTCTTTTGATTTTTTGGTACATTACAAATTTGCAGAGAAAGCAATAAAACCACTCACAGTCACAGTCACAGTCACAGAGAAGATATGGTGATTACGTTTGCCGGAAATTTTTTTTTTCTTCCCCGAGAGCGCGAGATTATGTTATGTGGGTCGTTTTAACAGAAATTTTTCTCGGATTACATTTGCTTGGGCTTTTTACACAATGGGCTATGAGTATGCTAGAAGCTTGGTGCAGGCTGCAGCCCAATTCCATTTCAGTCTTTTTCATACAACGATATTCTAAAGCTAAACACTCTAATGTACGGGGGAGGAGAGGATATAAAACTCCGGTGTAAAGTGCAGGCATAATTCCTAGATCAACTGACCTACAATTTAATATACAAAAAAGGAACATGGAACTCAGATACAAGGGGCAAGCACAATGCCTGAATTTGGCATATGCCACGTATGCCTTTCAAGAATTAGATAACTTAATCAAAATTGTCTGCATCATTATGATAAACAAATTTATTCAGATTGGAACAATTAAAGTAAAAAGGGTCAGTGAAAAAGAGCCTTCATTTGCAGACCAATTGTCTAATGTTCGGATCTCATAGCATCTTGATAGTGTGTGTGTGAAATCCCCTCTCCTCACCAAACCATTTTGTTTTTGTCCCAAGCATCACCAATAAGGGATCCATCTGCACCTCCTTTTTTGTATGATTACACATCTGCTTATTTAAAAGTATGCATCAAATAAGTGGACATGATATTTGACAACAAGAGTCTTTTGAGATTGACCAAATGCACCAAACCAAGTCTTTTTTATCCATTACTTTTTAAATTATTGGTATTCATTCACCAACTCAACATATTGGAGTATTTGTCAAATGGGTTGATATGTCAACACCAAAACAATACGTGGACAATGACATTTTCTGCATGATTTTATTCACACAAACTCTATTGACAATACTGGTAGGGCCCCAATTGGAAGGCTTTAATTCTAGGCCATAGAAACAAAGCTTTCTTCTCTATTAGTAACCAAAATTGAGTGGGCAACCACTCAACAAGAAAATCATGGCTCAGAAAATCCCACCAAGCATCTTGTAAATCTCAGAGCTTAATCATGTTTAGCCTTTTCTAATTTGTCAAATTAGTGGTTTCTATTTTGTCAAAACTAGTGGTGTTTCAAATCCTTTTTGTGTTTGATTCCTTCATAGACCTCTATTTGACAAATAAATTAGGCCCATAATAATATCCACCCCCGGAAAAATTGATAAACAAAAGAACCCACAGGAATCCATCTCATGGTTCCCATTCAAAGCTGTCGACGATTGATGACCCAAGTTTTTTCTGAATCACAAGTTTAAATGGGAAAAAGAAAATGGAAAGGTGGAACTTAAGAAAAGGAAGTACAATGACACATTTGTCATATAGTCGCATGGTTGTCATTACAATGAAGACTTTGAAAACTCTAGGACAGAAATTCATCTCCATTAACTCCATGTAAAGAGTTGACATACCAAGCCAAAAGTCTTATAAATGGCTTTTTTTGGCCGTGCCATATTTGAGATTCCAAAATGTGCAGAGGTGTAGAAGAGAGTGTTTTCTGCCAGCCACCAGTTAGTTCCCCAACGGGGTATGTGTGTTGTGAGCTCTGCAGCAAAAGGGCTTCATTGTATTGCCTAGCAGATGATGCATATTTGTGTAGAAAATGTGACCAATGGGTTCATGGGGCTAATTTCTTAGCTCTCAGGCATGTTAGGTGCCTGCTCTGCAACACATGCCAGAATCTTACTCAAAGATATGTCGTCGGGATTTCGGTTGAGGTGATGCTTCCAACCATTCTGAGTTGGGTGGAGAGAAAACGATGCAGTTCAAATAACAAAAGAAGGCGCTCAACCACACTGAAAAGGCCTTTCCTTTTCATGTGAGATATATATAGTTTCTCTTTTATGTGATTTTTTTTCGTTGTTGTTGTGGGATTAATTGGTAGAGAACCAGTGTAGCCTATGAGGTATACTGAAGATGGTAACTTAAACCATCTGAATTCCAAAAGCAACAGTTTCAAGGTATCTGTGTATATTTATTCTTTGATCTATCTGGATGTCCTGTATTTATGAGCACTAAGCTTAGATCATCACTTAGGCAGAGAAATTCAGTGTTGCATATTCCTGATATTCAATACAGAAGTTCTGGTATGTCACAATAGTATATGGATGTTTGTTACCACATGAGGGCCATTTTACTGCTAGAAACGTTGTCCTGTATTTGTGGGTTTCTACGTTTGAAATTATATTGAATCATATAATTAATTTCTAGTTTTTCACCATTACCTTGTATAAGAAATCTGCACTTCGTCCTTCACCATTACATGTTTATCTGCAGCTTTAGTTGAACACAGTATCGACATACATCCAACTTGTTTTATTTTCTTGTTAACAAAACTCCTATTCAAAAAAGGCAAAATGGCACCAAAGACAACCCAAGATGAGAACAAAAAAACATACTAACAAGGCATAATATATTAGTGTTACAGGTAAAAAGACCTCATGGTGGCAATAGACAAACTACCTATATCAGTGTTATAGGTAAATAGACCTCCTGGTGGCAATAGGTGCCTGTGCGACAGGTCTTAAGCCATGTCTATTGTAAACTATCTTCAATTTACCTGTATTGTAGGACCTGAAAAGCAAAACATACAAAATAGTGTGTTGTAATGGACAACTTTAAGTCCTGAAAACACTTCAAAATCAAATACTAGTACCAAGATCCAGCAAAACCATTTTCTATTGAAAGATGAGAAAAAGATCATCTCCTAATATCTCGTTTGTATAAATATAAAATAATAAAAAATAATAAAAATTGGTTTGGTTTGGACCAAAAATATGGGAATTGGGTGTCCATAAATTAGTTTTGGGTTCTATGCAATTTTATTCTTGGAGAAGTACATTATTGGGCCCAATAACGTAGAGGCCCAAAATAACAGCTAACACGGCAGACGTTTTCGACAGAAAAAAAAATAAATAAATAAATAAAATAAAATAAAATAAAACCGCAGCCGTGAATATTGAACCCGCTTCCAGTCACATCTACTCTTGCTTTCATCTTTAGAGATTGCAAGTGGCCAAGTAAAGATACGTAATACAAGGTAGAAGAGTTGTGCTGGTAGTGATATCATAGCACCATCGTTTTGGCTTTTTTGTTTCCACCCATTGCACCAATTTATGTGCAAGTTCTTTAGAGATTCAATTGCTTTCTTTTTTGCCAAGAAACTGTTTAGGGTTTGATTTTGGCTACAGAATTTCGAAATTATATAGGTTTGTGCGGTTCTGGTTTTGATATTTGTTTCTATCAATAATTTTCATTTTGTTTAGGTTTTCATTTTGTTTTTGTTCTTCTCATTGTTATGTATTCCTCATAAACTCATCTTCACTATTCTTGTTTTGGTACGTTTTTCTATCCAGCCAATATCATTTGGTATCAGGACCTGGACATGGATCAAAGATTGAAAGAGCTTGAGATTCAAGTCCGCTCTCTTGTTTCTGGTCAACAAAAAATTTTGGACAAGCTTTCTGACCTCTCCTATAAGCGCAACTCTCAAACTATCCATGATCACGAGGATGATGCTAATGGCGGACGGCACTGCAGCACCAACAAGAATACGAAAGGGACCAATTCGAGTGGATTGCAGCCATCCTACTATCCAAGGTTGGTGTTTAAACTCAATCTCCTCTATTTTAAAAACTTAAACAGATAGATAAAATATTGTACCTACCTCTGTTGACCAGCTTGCACATGGAAGGGGAGTGTGAGAATGACGCAGCACAAACAAATAAGGTTTCAAACGAAAACCTTGAGTAACAAGGAAACTGGAATCCACCAGAAATTAAAAGAAACTCTCTTTGATTAATTTGATAAAAACGTTAGACCAACCCGTCTAAATACACAACTCTCAACCCTTGTAACTGCTAGGGGAGTTATTACAATTAAAACTGAAAAACAGAATTAATTCGGAGAGTTAACTACGTAACTTCGAAACTGAAAAAAAAAAACAGAATTTATTTTGGGAATTAACACGGAAAAACAGAATTTATTTGGAATTAACTTCGAACTTTGAATGCAGTTTTGAAAGGCCAAACGACTCCAGAATGCCAAAATCCATCGTACATCACAGCTAAGCTGTGAGTTTGCCTCGTGGCATCGTTCCCTTTCCGAAATGGTATTTTGCTCCCTAATCAGAGCTCGGACGACAATTCTGCAAATTCCCACCACGTCCCTTTTCTTGCTCAACCGCGATAAAATCTGCCATCCGTTCTACATTAGTCCTCTCCACCTCCGAAGAACTCGACCCCGAGTTATGATCTGGATAAAGAACCTCATCTTCAGGAACTCATATAAATCTGCAACATTAAAAATATTGGAAATTCCCAGGGAATTCGGTAACTCAATAACATAGGCATTATTGGTTAGGTATAGCAGTATAAACAATGGAAAATGGAGACTTCCCAGTAGCGCTATGGACTGCACTATTGTATGCAAACTCCACCTGCGGTAATGCATAATCCCATTGTTTCGGCTTCTCTCCACAGACGCTTCGCACCATATTGCCCAATGTCCGGTTTGTAACCTCAGTCTGGCCATCAGTTTGGGGATGGGCAGTGCTGCTACGATTCAAAGTAGTCCCAAACAGTCTCCACAAAGTGATCCAAAAATGACTCAAGAACTTGGTGTCACGATCAGATGTAATGGATGTAGGAACCCCATGCAAGCGAACAACCTCCCTGAAAAACAGTTTGGCTATATTTGATGCATCAGCAGTCTTTTTGCAGGCTATGAAATGCGCCATTTTTGAGCACCGATCAACCACCACAAATACAGAGTCCACTCCCCTTTGTGTTCGGGGCAATCCGAGGACAAAATCCATAGCAAGATCCTGCCAAATATCGTTAGGAACTGGTAATGGCATATATAATCCAGTGTTTTGTACCTGCCCCTTCGAAGTTTGACAAATGTAGCACTTGCGCACAATAGTTCCAACATCACGTTTGAGCTGTGGTCAGTAAAATCTCTCCTCCATCAATGCAATTGTTTTGTCACGGCCTAAGTGGCCACTCAACCCTCCACCA